CACAAGCAGCAGCAGCAGCAACAGCAGCAGCAGCAGCAGCAGCAGCAGCAGCAGCAAGAAGACGAACCTGCAGCAGCAGCCGGGAGATAGAGCAGCAACGGCAGCCTTCCATAGAACGTCAGCAGCTGCAGCAGCTGCAGCAGCTGCACCGACATTTGCTGCTGCTGAGGAATAGAATTAAAAATAGCAGAGAGAAAAATAAACAAAGACAAAATAAAAGAGCCGCATGCTTCTGCTGCTGCTGCTTCCCAGGAAGCACCTGTCTTGTAGCAGCAGCAAACATAAGTTGCTGCTGCTGTCTCAGCTCCTGCTGCTGCTGATGATGATGAATCAGTCAAAGGGAGAGACAGTGCATTGCCGCTGCAGAAGCAGCAGCTGCTGCCCCAGCTGCTGCTGCTGCTGCTGCTGCACAGACGCCGCAGCAGTCTCTCTTCAAGACAGATTGCTGCTGCTACACCTTCCTTCCCTCGTCTCAGCATTCGTTTGCAATGCCTCCATATCCATAGCTGCTGCTGTTGTTGTTGTTGCTGCTGCTGCTGCTGCTGCAGTTGGTGCTGTTGCTGCTGCTGTAGCACACGGAGAGATGCTCCGGACGCTGTATCTGCGTCTGCTGCTGCAGCAGCAGCTGCTGCTGCTGCTGCTGCGTCTGCTGCTGTAGAGTCCCCCCAGTGCTGTACTTGTGAATCTGCAGCTTCGTAGATGGTGCGCTCGTCTGTCTCTGCAGCAGCAGCAGCAGCAGCAGCAGCAGCAGCAGCAGCAGCAGCAGCAACTCGTACTGTTTGTGTATTATCCTCTTCAGAGTTGTGGGCTTGTAAAACGCAGCTGAGCTGCTGCTGAGCAGTTTGAAAAGAAGAAAGTGAAGAAGAAGATGAAGAGACAGCAGACGACAATATGCTGTCCTCGAGAGCCTCCAGATAATCTAAAGGAGGAGCCAAGCAAACCCCTTCCATCGTGCTGCTGTTATGCTGCTGCTGCTGTTATGCTGCTGCTGCTGTTTTGCTGCTGCTGCTGTTATGCTGCTGCTGCTGCTGTGGGGTATGCGGCTGTTGGTATTGCTGCTGCTGGGGATGGCGTTGCTGCTGCTGTTGCTGCTGTTTTTCGGAGTGTGTGCTGCTGCTGCTGCTCCTGCTGTTGCACTGTGCATACACCTGAAAGTGTATGAGGAGACAACAACAGCAGCAGCAGCAGAAGAAACAGCAGCAGGAGCTGCTACCAGGAGAAGGCAGCAGGTAATGCAGCAAGCTGCCTGCAGCAACGCAGCAAAAGAAGGAGAAGAGTTGTAGAGAGACGTGCAGCGCTTGAATTTAAGGTTTTTCTTCTTTTCATGTGTGTAGACACCTAAAAAGAAGCAGCAGCTGCAGCCCTCCGGCATTAAAAGACTAAAAAGAATGCATGTTAATGCATTTTGTTTTAGTTGTATTAACTTCATGCGGCAGAAACTGTATGAAGAACAGAGAAAGAAAGCATTGCTGCTGCTTAGCGTTTGAATTAAGGTGTCTGCTGAGGTGCATATAGAGTACTCAGCGAATAAATAATAAAAAGAAATATATAAAAAGGAGAATTAAAAGACGTAAAATGCATGCGAAAGACAAGAAAATATTCACAGGTTTCGCATGCAGCGCATTCAACTCTTCGAAAGCCCCAAATAGTTTAAGAGAATGAAACTGCTGAAAATGCATGCAATTAAAAGGGTAAATATATTGCAATAAATATATTAAATGCATTTAAACCTTTTAAATACTATATGAAGAAGGTTTTATGCAACATTGCTGCTGGCTTTACCTCTGATTTTCTGTGTGTAAGCAGTCGTTGCTAGGAGTTCTTTGTATTGATTTTTTCTCTTTTTATCTTCTCAGACATTAGAATGCTTTAAATATATTTGTTTTATTTAAAAATACCCTTTTAAATTGAATTTATTGGAGGAGAAGAAGGAGAAGAAGGAGAAGTTGCGTTCAAATTGCAACAGTGTTGAAAAGGAGGTGCCTATACACCGCAGATGCATGTGTCTATTTTGTAGGAAATATTGAGGAAAACTGCATAAAAATTATATAATTTTGTTCAGGAGAAGATGGCTAGTGAAATAGATGTTACAGAAGAAGCACAGAAACGTCTTTGTCGCTTTAGTTATCTTTCACATTGTGTAGGAACTATGGAGGAGCGTGCAGGAGTTTTAAAGAAGAAAATTACAAGTCTTAATGATGCAAGTGAAGAAATAGAAGTTTCTTTTGTTGATGATGATCTCTGGATTCGCGTCGGTGAGTTATTATTTCTCTTCTTTTTCTCTCTTTTCACCTCTCTTTCTCTCTATGCATGCATGCACTCTATATAACTCCAATAGCTAACTACGGCTTCTCTTCTGTTATTGTAGAGTTAAATTAAAGTAAATAAGTATATTTTCTCTTCTTTTTTCTCGCTCATTTGTTCTTCTCTCTCTTGTATTTCTTGTTATTCTTTTCTCTGCCTTCTCGTTAAATGCAAATGAATATATATATATATATAT